GAGCACAATCTTTGCTGTTATCTGAGTAATTATTTCTGATTTCATTTTTCCCAGATCCTCTTTTGTTGCCAGTTCAGAAAGTCCAGGTGGTTGAGTATCAGATTGTTCTGTCTTGTTTCCCTTTGGGGTTGCTGTAGGTGATCTGGAAGTCTGTTTTTGAGGCTTATTTATGTGTCTTCTCATTTCCACAGAGGGGGGTGTGTGTGCTTCTGGTGCCCAGGCGGCTCACCTCCTCTGCCCTAGGAGCGTGGTATGGTGGTGGGGGAGCTTCCTTCTGGGTACTGGGATTGGCTCTGCTTCTCTTCCCTAGGAGTGTGGGATGGCGGCGGGGGAGCTTCCTTCTGGGTCTTAAATGAGATACTCAATCTGTAGTTAGCTGTGAGATTGTCATTAAAAATTCTCTTCTTTCTTTGGTATTGTACGATTATATTGGAGCCGTGCTATAAAATAGATGAGGTGGTTACTGATCAGTCAGTAAGTATGGAATTCCTAAGGTTTGGCCAGCTTATTGCAAAATAATCATAGTCTGCCACTTTTTCTTGTTTTAGGGAAAAAAGCTCGCACATTTGACTTGGAAGCAATGTTTGAGCAAACTCGAAGAACAGCTGTAGAAAGATGTCGGAAAACACTGGGTAAGAAGTTCGCATATTTGCCCTTTTATTGTTTTTAATACTGCATATACCTTACACAAGTATATTGAGAGTTACAAGATAGAAAAAAAATTTCAAAAAGTTGCAAAAGACCATGTGTCCCAGTTCCTTTGAAGCAGAACTTCAAGAACTTTTTTTCCTTTGTATTTTAAACATGTAAAAGTTGCATCTAAGTAAGAGAAGGTCTGAATACTAAAATCTTTTAAAAATGTGTTCTGAGAACAAACAAGGGTTCTCATTTTATAGGAACAAGAATAGGATTTTCTTCATTAGCACCGTTTCCGCCTCTGACTCTCATTTCATTTTTCTTTTTCCTGCTTACAGCGGAACCAGTATTTGGAAGGCTGGGCCAGGTGTTACTCTCAGAACTGTATACACTACTGACTGTTGACCCAGACAGTATAGAAAATTGAGACATACAGTGAATGTGGCTGCTGCTGAATACCTGCTTTAATGAGTTGTATCAGGCATTTCATTTCCAGGCTGGTTTGGTACTAGTTGGTTTGCAGTTCTAGGTACTGCCACAGAGACTTTAGAGGAGACCGACTCTTCTCCTTTCTTTGGATCTAGTTTAGACCACTGTTAGATTAGAGAAGGGGTAGATGTAACCTGATAGAGCAGAAATGACTCCTGGAAAGATTTAAATGAATTTGTTATGGTACTTGTAATGACAAGTAGGTGGGCTGGGGATGTAACTCAGTTGTACTGCCCCTGCTTGGCAAGCACAAGATCCTGAGTTTGATCCTCAGTACCAGAAAAAAAAAAAAAAAAAGAAAAGAAAAGAAAGAAAAGTAGTTTAGGCACAATATTTAATATTTAGGCAGTGAATTTGAAATTAAATAGTTTTGTTCTTTGGAAGAAGCTGTATTTAGGGGCTGGTGGTGAAAAGGCAGCTATGTACATGCACTTAAACCATTGTGGTATGAAATTTCAAACCCAGTGGTACAGTGATGACTACCATTTATCTGTCACTTAGATTTTTAACTACTATAAAAAAACTCATGGCTAGTGTTATTTCCATTTACTTCCCCTCTGATTATTTTGAATCACATCTTGGATATCATTTCATCCATAGGTACTTTGGATATTTTTGTATGTATCTTAAAATAATAAAGATCTTTGGAAAACAAAGCCAAAAAACCTTCTAAGAGATGGGAAAAAGAAAGACATTTTTTCCTACTCATATACACTCAACTGTATACTTCACTTCTGATACCAAATGTGGGAAGTTTTCCTCAGACAGCAGGCAGTTCTGTTGTGAACACTAACTGGGTTTTCAGTAACTCGGTTTAGTTTTAACACTACCTAGAGACTGGTATGAGATTGCCTCCATTTCAGATGCTTAACGCAGGTCCCAATTTGTGGCTTATACCTCTGATCCACTGGCTATAAATGGGGGTTCACAGTTCCCACACTTCCATTTGATAATGTGCAAGGACAGGTCACAGAAGTCAGGAAAATACTAATGTTTCCTGATTTATAAAAGGATATTGTAGAAGATGTAGATGAACAGCCAGATGAAGTGATACAGTAGTCGTAGTAGGGTGGGGAAATGTGAGGCTTCTATACCCTCTTCGGGTATACCAAGCTCTTGGCACCTGAGTTCTTTAGAGCTTAATTTCCAGCCCCATCCCACTTTCTCCAGAGCACAGTCCCATCCTGAAATTATCTAGGAGTCATGCCTTAACTCACCTCAGCAGCATGAACTGGTGTGATCAAAGGGGGCTGGGTTTGGTGGTGCACACCCATTATCTCAGCACATGGGAGGCAGAGTCAGGAGGAGAAGTTTGGGTTGGCCTTGGGCAACTCATCGAGATCCTGTCTCAAAATAAAAAGTGCTAGGGATATAGTTCAGGGTGAAGGCCCTGAGTTTAATCCCTGGTACCACAAAACCAGAAGAAAACAAAAAACAATTCAAATATTAGACAAGATACAAAAACATGCCACCTGAGGCATATTTGCAAATGTTTCAGTTAATGTATAAACATTTCAGTAACTGCTTATATTTACTTACATTTTGGTACTGGGGTTTGAACCCAGGCCTTTGCAGTGAGCTGCATCCCAGCCTTTTTTAAAATTTTGAGCTTAAGTTGCTAAATTGCTTAGGCTGGATTCAAACTTGTGATCTTCCTGCCTTTGCCTCCCAAAGTGCTGGGATTACATGTATGCACCACCATGCTCAGCTACTGAATGCTTATACTCTCAAAGTATAGGTATCTTTACTTCTTTAAGCATGTCATGCAAAATGCTTTGAATGGGAATTGTTTTATTAGCTATGTAAGTTTTATAGTCCCCAAAAAGGTTCTCAATATATATTTGAGGATACTGTATTTAGATCTTTAATACTATCATTTATTTATTTGTTTTTTGAGACAGAGTTTTGCTATGTAGTCCAGGCTGGCCTTGAACTCCTAGGGATCTTGGGGATATAGGTGTGCACCACCACAACCAGCCAGATCTTTACTACTGTCTTTGATGAAGTCTTGCTTATTTGGAATTTATTTTTTCTTTTTTTTTTTGCAGAACTGGGGATCGAACTCAGGACTTTGTGTTTGCCAGACAGGTGCTGGTGCCACTGAGGCCCTGGAAAATGGTTTTTTAAAAAAATTTATTTTTATTTTTGTGATTGGTGATAGAACTTAGCACTTCTTGCACACTAGGCAAGTGCTTTACCACTGAGCTATACTCCCTAGAAAATATTTTGTTTTTATTTATTTTTTGGTTTGTTTTGAGACAAGGTCTCTCTATGTAGTTCAAGATGGCCTTAAACTCATTATGTAGCCCAGGCTCACTGGAGAATGTTTTAAATGGCACAATCCATTGGAAAGAACATTTGGAGTTGGAGGAACCAGGTTAACCTCATATTCTACTAGATGAGTAAAACTCATAGTATAGATTTCCAAATTTCTGATCCTTAATTTCCTTGTCTGCTAGGTGGATATGATGTCATGTACTTTAGAAGGTTTTTGAAGGGATTAGGACGTTGGCCTTAGTACCTTGTAAACAGTAAAGTACCTTATATGTATCATTTTTGATTCCTGTAGTTTTTCTTAGTAAAGCATGTATGCATTCCACCTAAGAAGAATTTCAGAGTTACTAGAGTTTTACATTTTTGAAAAGTTTTATGTTATTTGTGGACAGGGTTAAATGTATTGAACTTTCTTGATTTAGTGTTACATCTTTAGACTTGGACTGCTTTTTCTATCCCTGATCTACATGAATACAAATTGAACATCTCTTTGAAAGATCTACTTAGCTTTAGCATATACATGGAAAATGTTATTTGGAATAATTTATGGGAGTATGGTAATAATCATCACTATATAGGAAATTATTTTACTGATCTTGGCAATTAAATTATATTCAGACTATAGAATTAAAACTTGGTTTACAATTTGACTGACTTGAAAAAGCTTGACCAAATCTCATCTAGGCATATTTAATCTCGTGATTGGTTTTGAAATCTTCCTGGGCATTAAATTCACATTTGAAGGCCAGGGATTTAGCTCAGTGGCACCACGCCTGCCTCGCAAGCACGAGTTCCTGAGTTTGATCCCTGGTACCGGAAAAAAAAAGCACATTTGAAGACACTAAAACTTTGATTCTTTTAATGGCAGTTAGATTGTCTGTGTATGTGTGTATGCACTGTTTTGCTTGTGAAATGCTCTGGTAGAAAGCATGAATGACTATAAAACTTCAATAAAATAATTGTTGAGAAATGTCTGAAAGTAGTAATTGTACAAGTTGTTTTGTGTGTTGGTTTTTTTGACACAGGGACTTGCTTTGTAGTGCTGGATGGTCTTGAACTCACTATATACCGCAGGCTAGCCTCGGATTTGCTGTGATCCTCCCTTAGTCTCCTGAGTGCTGGGATTACAGACATGCACCACAGTGCCCAGCTACAATTTTTTTTTTTCTGGTATGGGGATTGAACTCAGGAATTTGAGCTTTGCAGGCAGGCACAGCACCACTAAGCTAAATCCTCAGCCCTACAAATTGTTCTTTAATGTGTCATATTCTTGTTTTTTTTTTTTTTTTTTTTTGGTACCAGGGATCGAACTCAGGTCCTTGCGCTTGCACAGCAGGCGGCGAAACCACTGAGCTAAATCCCCAGCCCAGTGTGTCATATTCTTGAAAGCTACCTTGTCTAAGGTATATATAAGACATAGACTTTTGTAGAATTGTTATACTATGAGGAAATAATTCAGGAAGAAAATTTTTTTTTTTATTCATTTACTTACTCTGGGTTTAGCTATGTTTTACAGATTATGAACTTTTTCTGTTACATAACTGGAAAAAACTCAGAACAATGATTTAAGATAGGATTTTATTGTTTTTTATTTTTTATTTTTCCTTAAATTATTTTATTGGTACATTTTAGGTATACAGTATGTTTACATTTATCATTGGGTGGTTGTACCTGTACATGATGTATCTTGGGTCTTAGTTTTTCCTCATTACCTGTCCACCCTTCACCCCCTCCACCCTTCCCTATTTACATAGACTTTGTTTCCATTTTTTTTTCTTTTCTCATAATTTTGCCTTTCCATTCTTTCCTTTCCCCATCTCATCCCACCACCCCTACCCCTTTGGACCTTTTCCTATTTCAGAGTATCAATTATTAGCTATTAAACCTTTTAATTCTATTTACACTCTCAGTTTCTCACACTAGAGAAACTATTCGGTATTTACATGTGTGTCCTATTTATTTCACTTAAGAGTATGGCCTCAATATGAATCCATTTAGCTATAAATGACTCTAGTTTCTCATTCTTTATGGCTGAGTAGTATTCCATTTTAT